TTGGCAGGGAAACCCTCTAGGAAATTATTGCAGGGCCAGGGCAATTGTGAAATCAGGGGTGGGAAAATATGGATAGGCCTGTTAACTGTGACAGACAGGGTTAAAAACAGGAGGAATCTAGATAAACTACCAGTTTTCTGACCTGAGGAAGTAGGCAGACATTCTTCTTTTTATGAAGTACGAGATAGTACTAGACAAAGAAAGGGTTGGGAAGAAAGGGGAAAACTTGAGGGTTGATAATGCTGTGCTGCAGGTACCCACGGCCTAGTCTTAGCGATGCATAGAAGTGTTTAGTACCCAAAAGGACTTTCTATGCTAAGCCATCAGAAAGCAGAATCAGAATCATCCATGTGTCAAATATTTACGAGCCCTTCCCGCTTGTCAGCTACTATTATAGGCACAAGGACACAGCTGTGAACAGACAGGAATGTTCTTCCTTTTGCGAAATACATCTGGATAGAGGAGACAGGCAATAAATCATAAAAGTAACACCGTTTAAAATAGAAGTAAGTGCTGAGTGGACAAGAAGAAGATATGGTATAAAAGAAAAGGACAGATAAAGACTTTGTACCTTAGTTTACATGGTGAGAATGGGCTTCACCAAGAAGGTGGCAACTGAGCTGAGATTTTAGAAGATTAGGTGCTCATTTTAGGAATAAAAGTGCACAAAAGCTCGGGGGCATGAACGTCTCGGTGGTCCACGGTAGAACACAACAAAGGTCAGGGTGGTTGCTGCATAGGAAGCCAAGGAGATGTAGAACTCATGGAGTCAGCCCTTGTGCTAAGTATGCCTCAATGCATATGGTATTGCAGTGTGGTTTCTCATAAAGACACATACACAAACACAAACACATAAACAGACACACACACAGAGAGAGACAGAGACACACACACAGAGAGGGACAGGGACAGAGACTGACAGAATTTTGTTTTAGTTGAAGCTCTGAAGTTGCCTAGGAAGTCAGCAGTGTGAGGAATACGATAGCACAAACAAGAGGTCTGTGGTCATTTAAGCCTTATGGAGAAAAGATAGACAAAAACTAAATCACTTTCCACCTTTTTAGTGTTTTTCTTTGAGATAGTATTTTAATTACAACATATTTTTCCCTTCTCAACTCCTCCCTTCAAATCTTCCCACATAACCCTCCCCACTCTCCTTGAAACTCATGGCCTATTTTTCAATAATTATTATAGCATGCAGATACACACTTGTATACACATACATTTCCCTAAGTACAACCTGTTGATTCCATACATTGTTGCTTACATGAATGATTTTAGGACTGATCATTTGGCACTGGACAACCAATTGGTGTTCTCTTCCCTGGAAAGGACCACCTCTCCTGGTCCCAGCCTTACTCAGTTTCCTGTAGTTCGTTGTGTAGGGTTGAAGCCTCCTGGACCCTTACCCCAAACAGCTTGGCATCCTTGTTGATGTCAACCTCGTCCAGCTCACATTTAGGCAGTCATTTCGGTGAGCTCTTTTTCTCTTTCTATTTTCTTTCTTTCTTTCTTTGTTTCTTTGTTTCTTTGTTTCTTTCTTTCTTTCTTTCTTTCTTTCTTTCTTTCTTTCTTTCTTTCTTTCTTCTTTCTCTCTTTCTTTCTTTCTTGTTTTTGGAGACAGGGTTTCTCTGTGTAGTCTTGGCTGTCTTGGACTCACTTTGTAGACCAGGCTGGATTTGAATCCACAGAGATCCACCTGTCACTGCCTCCCTGAGTGCTGGGATTACAGGCTTGCACAACAGCATCTGGCCTCATTGAATTTTTATGGGTGTAGCTTCTGATGTTACTCTGAGATACATCTCCCAGCAAACTCCGGCTCTTAAAATCTTTCTGCAATCTCTTTTTGGAATGTTCCCTGAGCCTTAGGAATGGGTGTGTTTGTAGATGAATCCATAGGGAGTAGGCTCCTCAACTCTACATTTTGATTGGTTGTGGGTTTTCTGCAGCGGTCTTATCTATTGCAAAAAGATGTTTCCTCCATAAAGGATGAAGACTAAAGGTTCAGTAAATTAGTGGATGCAGATTTTTCTCTAATAACCGTCATTTTTTTTTTTTTTTTTAGATGAAGTATTTCTTTGAATTTGGAGCTCACTGGTAAGGCTAGCTGGCCAGTGAGCCCCCAGGATGCTAACTCTATCTTTTCAGAGCTGTGGTGACAGACATGTACCCCCATGTCTAGTTTATATGTGGGTGTAAGGAATCAGCAATTCCTTTACTCGTGGAACTATCTCCTCTGCTCTGAAAATTAACTCTTCGTGTCAGCTTCTCTCCTCGAAATGGAAGCTATTTCTACACATGCAAGTAAAATAGTGTCAATAGATAATGACTTGATTTCAAACACACAAGATACTATAGTAAGATGAAACCCAGTCTATGACATTTTTATTAATATTGTCAAGTATTTTTCTATTCAGAGGTGGTATCATTGGTTGTGTGACTTTATTCCTCTCTTTTCCAGTAAAGAAAAGCAGTGGACTTCTCCTGATGTGCATACGGTTTAGCTCTCTGGCCTAAGACCGAATGCAGACACTGCACTGAGGATGTGTCTAAACTAATCTGTGGATGAAGGAAGATCAGAAACGTGTACGATGTAACTATTCCAGCTGTGTACTCCTTGCCAGTGCCGACCAAGAGCAGAACCCCTGGTGAACTGCAAGTATATAAAAACAACAGATTTAATCAGATCGACTATCACATCAGCATGGAATTCCAATAACCTAGGATGGGCTTCAGAGTGATTCTTTGGTTTAGAATTACTCTCCTCAAGGCAATGGGTAACTGATCTATCAACCTTGTCAAGGAACTGAGATAGGACACAAAGACAGAAGAAAACAACCGTATATGATTAAGGATAGGTCCTCATCACCAAGTCTGAAGCCTCTCTCCACCAGAGAAACAAAGATTCCAGCCCACTTAACATTTACAGTTAAAAGTTAATAGTCCTTTCATAATTACATATTTTATGTAAAAGTATCAATGGATCAGAATTAAGGCCTGAATGAACATGAGCTTGGGTAGTAGGGCCACATTTTTTTCTCCAGAGATGGCTCAGTATCTCAAACAAAACAGTTTAATTTGTTTACAGCAAGAAAATCTTACTCATGTGAGCTAGACTGTTAACCAATGGTGATCCTATCATGTGTCCCTCAGGAACCACCCAGATACTTAGGTTTCTCAACAACACTTCAAAGACACTAACTTAGAAGTCCATCAAAATCCTGAATGTTACTATTATAAACAATAACAAACAAACACAACTCCCCACTTCAACCTAAATGAAGAAAACCTTGAAATAATCCCGCTGAAGTCAGGGCTGAGACAGAGATGTCCATCTGCTGCACTCCTTCTTGATACTGTAAAGCACTAGCTGGGGAAAAAGGCAAGAGAAGGAAACCAAAAGGATGCAAATAGGAAAAAGAAGACTCTAAACTATTTCTGTTTGCAGATGACATGATATATAGAAGAGGTCCTCAAAATACTACCACAAAACTTCCAAAAAAAATGTAGACAAATCCTGCAACATGGCAAGATACAGAATCAACCCACACAAATCAATAGCTTTTCTATACATTAGTAACAAACATAGAAAGAAGGAGATGATGGATATACTCCCACTCACCATAATCCTAAAAGAAACCTGACATATTTAAGAATAAACATTACCTAGGATATAAAGGATCTCTACAATGAAAACTTTAAATCTCTGGAGAAAGAGATGGCAAAGGGCATGAAAAAAATAGGAAAACAGTCCTTGCTCATGGACTGTTGATATTGTGAAGGTAGTATTTTGCAAAACTCATTTGCAAGATTCAAAGCAAATCCCATTGCACATTCCCATCTCATTCTTTACAGAAATAGAAAAAAAAGAAGCTATCTTAAAATAAATATGGAACAACAAAAGATTTTGGATAGCCAAGTAACTGCTGTTCAAGAATAATGCTGAAGGAATTATCATTTCAGATAGAAAGATACATTACAAAGCTGGGAGCAGGCGGATCTCTGTGAGGTCAGCCCGGTCCACAAAGCGAATCCAGAACAACCAAGGCTATACAGAGAAACCCTGTCTCCAAAAACTCCCCACCCCCACCCCAAAAAAGAAAAAAAAAAGATATATTACAAAGCTACAGTAATAAACCCAGTATGGTGCTGTGACAAAAACAGACACAGACATGTAGAACAATGGAACAAAACCAATGATCCAGACAGTGTATTGCACTCATACTTCAGCCATTTAAAGAAAATGAGGCCATAAATTTAAAAGAGAGCAAGGGATTGATGGTGTATGTAGGAAGGCTTGGAGGGAGGGAGGGAGACGAAGGGACATCAGTCCTGCTGCTGCTTATGTTGGAGATTATTTTCTGTGTTCAATCCAGGAATCTTGGTTTATCCTGAATTAAAATTCATAAACGTCTAGGGGAACTCCTCGGACCAATGACAATGTCTGTGGGGAGCTCTGACTCTGTCCCTCAAAATGCTTACAAAAAAAGTGAATAAACTGTAATTAATTCAAAAATTAATTAATTAAAAAATGCTTACAAGATGAAAGTGGAAGGTGGGCCAAGTCAGCACAGACAGGATTGTAGTCACCTTCCATTTAAATCAGTCACCAGTATTTCATGGAAGATCCAGTAGAACCCAGGAAATATTTGCAAATTTGGTTTAGATAGGCTTTTGTGATATGGTGTATTTTTAGCTCTCTCTATATCTCTTCAAGTTGACCCAAAGGCTAGTGTAATATGATCCAACTGTTTTTACAGTAAAACATTGCTCAGGATGGAATCATCATAAAGAAGTACAAACTTCCCTGTAAAGGTTGGATTCCATCCATGAATAATTATCATCTTAAAGATATGGAAATTATTTACCAAGTGTTAAGAACATTAAAAAAATATATATTTTAAAGCTGCTAAGAATTGCCAGTCTTTATCTAAAACTTTTCAGAAAAAGCTATTTGGATATCAGATTTGAGTGTTTGAGGAGGGTCAGATAAAGTCTGTAAGCCAGTGGAAAAATCCTTTGACGTCAATGTTATGTAAGTAAATTATAACTTCTAGGAAACTGTGTTTTCCATGAAACTTCAGGTCTCACAATTCCAGCGAGCTTGACTGCAGTCCTTGAAATGCACTGCTTCATTGGAACTGCAGTCAGACCTTGTCCAGCTGATCTGCCTAGGGACTGAGTGTGCTGACAGAGACCTATTCTTCGCAGTCAGGTAATTCTGCTGCCAACGACTGATTTTGGCTCATGAGCTCTGACTAACATTGAACAAACTCCCTAAGAGGGCTGCTGTCTAGGATTCTCTTCCCTGGTTGTGTGGGTTAACTTCGGTAAATTTGACATAAACCTAGATGCACCTGGATAGGGAACCTCAATTGAGGAATTAACTTCATTAGGTTGGTGTGTCTATTAGATCATTTCTTGATGGTTAATTGAGGTTGGAGGATCCATCCCACTGTGGGTACTGTCATTCCAGGGCTGTATAAGAAAGATGGATAAGCAAGTCACAGGGAACAAACCAGGAAGAAGAGCTCCTCCAAGATCTCTGCTTCAGTTCTTGCCTCCAAGTCCCTGTTTCAGCAGCTGCCTTCACTTCCCCTGATGGCATGTAAGACGTAAGGCAAATAAACCCTCACCCCACCCAATTGCTTTTGGTGTTTTATCAGTACAACAAAAAGCAAAATAATATGTGAGTCTTCTCTTTCTGGATCATTCATTCTAGTGAGATGTATCTTGTGCCCTGGTTTCCCTTTATTGCCTTTGCCACTCATTCTCTATTTTCTTCTACATGTGTGTTTCTTCTTGTTGTTGTTATTATTATTATTTTACATATTGAATCCCATCTTGGGACCCAGTTCTTGAGAATCCAGCTTAACACATGATCCTCTGTGAGTGTTGGTTTTCCTGTGTGAAAGAAAAGTCAGTCTATAAGGTGGTAATAATTCATTAAAGTGAACCAAGGAGTTTAAAGTGTAATTGCACAGCAGCATATAATATAGTTCTAGTTAATGAGTGGAATTATTTTATTATTACTACAATATCTTTTGTTTTGTTTTGTTTTTGAGATAGGGTTTCTCCATTTAGTCTTTGTTGTCCTGGACTCACTTTGTAGACCTGCCTTTGCCTCCTGGAGTATTGGAATTACAGATGTGAGCCACCACACCCTACTTATTACAATATCTTACTAATTTTTCTGTATTTTTTTTTAAATTAGCAGGTTAGTAGAGCCTGAGCTTGTCTATCACTAGGGCAGCATAGAATAAAATAAATGTAAAACAGAAGAATTCAGATAAAAACTACATAAACTATTGATAAAATACATCACTAAATGTTCACAGAAAAGATTATCTTATCTGTCACTCATTTAAAGTGAAAGGTATAATTGACTGGGGTTAAAACACCTGGCATTCATGTTACGTGGCCATTGAGATTGGATTCTCCTTTGAATGCAAAGAAAAATCAGGAGTTTTCAGTTAAACTGAACCATCTTCTCACAGATAGAAATGCACATGTCAGAAAGAGGCCTATTAAGGGCACCAAAATATTTTCCTGGCTTGAATTATCCTAGTAATTGCATATAATCTACAATGATCCTGAGGTCATGCATGTTTGCATGTCATTGATAATGGTAGTTCGCCAGGAAGTCTAATTTGGGGATCATGCTTAACATTCTTTCCCCAAAACTTAAACAGGAAAATAACTTAAGGAGTGACCTCCATTTGTAAAAAAGAATTGGGAATTAGAATTATTTAATAAAAATAAAAGGAGAATTCAGTATTGCCTCCTATTAAATTGAAATATAACTTTTAAATGTAAATAATAATGGAGGGCTGCCAAAAAAATATCTATCTATCTGACTGTCTGTCTATCATCTATATCTATCCTTCTATCCATCCATCTATCTATCTACCTTTCAATCTAGCATCTATATCTATTTTTCCATCATCTCTCATTATCTATGTATATATCATTTACCTATCAATTGATCGATCATTATATCTTTCATCTATCATCTATCTATCTATCTGTCTGTCTGTCTGTCTAATCTATTTGTCTATCTATTATTTATTTATTTTGAACCTTGTTTTTGACTTAACAATTTTCAATAGATATTTTTCTTCATTTTCTTACACAGGAACAGTTTACACATGTGTAGAACCATATAGTTAGACTCATCTTTATCTATATCTGCCTTAAAGTAAAAGAACAACGTAATATTAAAAGTCATATCCTACTTTGCATTATTTCTGGAGCTATTCAGGGATACTTATTCTAACAGTAAATTCTGTTTTGTTTAACAAGATTCTGTGAGATCTTCTCATTCAGATTTGCTTTGAATCAGTTAAATTTAAATCAGATTTGCTATGGTTGCGAACAGCTGCACATAACACTGTCATGTTTGAATGATGTTTTTATTTTTTTGACCAGTTCAGTAGTATAAGCCAAAACTATTTCCAGGACACCAAAAGAACCTTACAGTGTTTCTTCTGTTTTCAGAATGTTTCGGTCTATAAGTCATGTCTTAGAGTTCTTAAGGGCAATGCTGTTTTCTCCGAAGAATAAACCAGCTCTCTTGGTGTCATCAGCTGCCTACCAATGATGGAGAGATCACTGGTTTGAGCGGGTATTGTAGTGCTCAACTATTTCATATTTTTCTCTCCCTTGTCTCTGCTCTTTCAGAAACAAACACAAACACAAAGCAGACATGGATATGGCACGAGCTCAGAGAAGACCTTGACCACATGAATACTAACAGAAAGTTGCTTATTCTTCTATTGACCTCATTCAGTGTATGTCTGTGGCACCTTCATCCAAAGGCCAATGTCACGGACCAGTGTGAGTGGTCTACTTTTGTTTGCGAAACTTTTACCTTCCCTTCCTCTTCTTTCCCCTTCTCTCCCTCCATTCCTCCTTTCTTTATTCTTTTCCTCCTTTCTTCCTTTCCTTCTTTTTCTTTCCTTCTTGCTTAACTTTCTTTAGTTAAGTCAAAAAAAAGCTTTCTTCATGGTGTTTTCATGTATATCTTGCTCTTTCATTTACACCTTCCCCACTGTCTTCATTAGTCCCCTTGATCCAGTCTAAACTGATCCCCTTTTTTTCCTCTCCTACCCTCTCATGCCTTCTTACAGTTTTTGTTTGTCCCTCTTTCCATTATGGCCACTTCCTTCCCTCTTATGCCCTCCCTTCTTTCTGAATTATATTCTAATCAAATAATCTCGAAACTGGCCCCCTTGATTTTTGTGCTTTCTCTCCAATCTACTTCATAAGACGTCCATTAATCTCATTTTTATTTTTATTTTATTTATTTACGTGATGCTGCTGTTTTTATTACCACTCCTAAGTTTTTTTAATTAAATTATTATTTTTTTATATTAATTACAATTTGTTCACTTTGTATCCCAGCTGTAGCACCTTCCTTCATTCCCTCCCAATTCCACCTTCCCTCCCTTATCTCCTCCCATGCTCCTCCCCAAGTCCACTCACAGGGGAAGTCCTCCTCCCCTTCCATCTGACCCTAGCTTATCAGGTCTCATCAGGACTAGCTGCATTGTCCTACTCTTTGGCCTGGTAAGGCTGCTACCCACTCGGCAGGGTGTGGGGTGTGGGGTGGTCAAGGAGCTCACCACTGAGTTCATGTCAGAGACAGTTTCTGTTCCCCTTACTAGGGCACCCACTTGGATATTGAGCTGCCATGGGCTACATCTGAGCAGGGGTTCTAGGTAATCTAGGTTATATCCATGAATGGTCCATGGTTGGAGTGTCAGTCTCAGAAAAAGACCTCTGTGCCCAGATATTTTGGTTCTGTTGCTCTCCCTGTGGAGCTCCTGTCCTCTCCAGGTCTTACTATCTTCTCCTTCTTTCATAGGATTCCCTGTGCTCTGCCCAAAGTTTGATTATCAGTCTCAGCATCTGCTTTGATACACTGCTGGGTAGAGTCTTTCAGTGGCCCTCTATGGTAGGCTTCTGTCCTGTCTCCTGTTTTCTCCCGCTTCCAATGTCCATCCCATTTGTCTTTCTGAATGAGTATTGATCATCTTACCCAGGGTCCTCCTTCTTGCTTAGCTTCTTTAGGTACACAGATTTTAGTATGTTTATCCTATATGTCTAGTATCTCCTGATAAATGAGTATATACCATGTGTGTCTTTCTGTTTCTGAGATACCTCAGTCGGGATCAATCTTATTTTTATAATGATCTTAGGCGTCTCAATTTTTTTTGTTGCTGTTGTTTTTATGGTTATGGTTCAAAAAGTTCTGAATACCCAGCTCTAATAGAAAATAAATTAAGCATACACCTATAGTGCTATGTATTTATTTTCTAAAGAAAGAAAGACTGGGTATGGAAGTGGGGAGGATTTGGGAGAATCTGGGAGGGGGAGGGGAACTAGGATCAGAATATATTATATGAAAAAATAATTTCAGTTTATATTATATATGTATCTTAAAATTTTAACAAGTTACCCTCCCTTGGTGTAGAGTTTTGGGGGAATGTAGGCCCAGACCTACTTGGAAACAGCATTTCTGGAATCGTTGCTATAAAGAAGAAAATCCCCCGATACAGAAGGGACGAGACCAGCTGGGGAATTCCAAAGGTTTAATGCCCTGAATGTGGATGTCCCTGGATCTACCTCCACCCCTGCCCTTCATGGGAGCTCAGTAAACCTTGGATATACTTGTCTGTATCTTTTGCACTGGACATTTGAGTCGTTGTATAACTGTAAAAGCTCTGCTCACTGCATCACTCAAGTACCTGTCCAGAGGTCCAACTTACAGGAAGTAAAATCCAAATGTGGTCTATCAGTTGGGAGGCTGAGGCAGGAGGAGCACTGAGATGAGAATTCAAGGACAGCTTGAGCTATTGAATGAGACTGTCTTTAAAAATGGCCAGCCCTTAAAAGATGGCCATACATACGAGTAACGTTGTACAGACTGAGGAGGTTGAATTTGTGTTTTTAGGAAAACATAAAAATGTGTGTGTGTGTAAGGACAAAGAGAAAAGACCATGAATTTGAAGGAGAGCATGGAAGGTTACTGCGGGTCTGGGAGGAAGGTGGAGGAAGGAAAGGGAAAGAGAAAACAATGTAATAAATGATGTAATTACATTATAACCTCAAACACTAAAACAAATATGTTTTAAAAGTCTCTGTTCAATAAACACATATTATTCTGAAGACCTCCTCTCCCCATCTGCATTTGCTTTTGGTCACTGTCACATTTACTTGAAGAAAACACTATAGACTTTCCAGCAGGTGTGACTCATTACAGCTATTTTTGAACGCTTCTGTGAAAGGCAAATTCGTCCACACAACAAAGGCTCCGAGGAATGCAGTGTCTCTCACACACCATCATTACACACACTCACAGGTAATTAGATGTCTCTGACAAACAGGATTTGTCATGGCTAGACTAAGAATCACTTGCCTCTCCGTGAAACCCTTAACTTTATTGGCTTTGTATTGTGATTGCCCCTGAAATATTTACTTCTGTGATCTCCTGTTAATTTTTTTTTAAAACAAATACCCAACAATTGCTAACTTGTTGCAACTCCCCAGAATTCAGTCTTTTCTCTTTAAAGTTCTGATTGGCAAATATAAAGACCATAAAGAGGTTCTATTTGTTTGACTATTTTTGGAACTTCCTTATGTTATTATTTTTCATTGATATTTTTAGATGGCATAAAAAACACTGACAGGTTTGTACAAATGTATATTTATACTTCAATTACATCCCTCCAGCGGGATTGCTTTGGGGTTTCTGAGAACTGGACCTCAGGCCTGATGTATGCTAAGGGTCGGCGTGCTGTAGAATTGAGTTGTGTCCCTAGGTCACCCGCCTACCTGTTATGAGCCTCCACAGTGGGATGAAAGCTCTCCAGAAAATACTCCTTGAGAAAGTAACCATATAGGAAATTCTCTCTTTTTCTTCAGGTTGATTTACACTAAAGAATTTAAAAAGAAAACATCAGATTCTTGTAAAATAAACGAATAGTTTTACAGCTTTTTCTGTAATTGTAGTTGTAATAATAAGAACATTATTTTAAAATGATATGAAATTTCTCTAAAATTCCATTAAAAAACAGTTTTTTTTTTTTAATTCATAATCCTGTAACAGTTAATACAGTTTGGATCAATGGGACATTTTGCGCACTTTGGTCCCAGTGGTGGTACTCAGGCGGTGCCATATCACCGTGTAAATGGAAAACTTAAATAACCAATTCTTCAAACAGCTTAATGCTAAAGAGAAAAGAAATCTCAGGCCCATGCTTAGATCCCTAGTTTGTGAGGGTGTTTTCCCTTTCTTTCAACTTCACATAATGCTCAATTTTTATTTTAGAGTGGTTCGCATGAAGTGAGTCAAAAGCATTAAAACCAAAATCGACCCTAAAGGAAATCAAGTGAAAGAAAATTTAATTATTTATCTCAGAAGACATATAATGCGTTGCTTTATCAAACTGAATATATGCATTCCGTTTTCTTTCCAGAATTTTAAAACAAATAAGTGTAAATAATATATTCATAATTATATCTGTAGATTGTGTAAAAACTACATTTGTGGCATTAACAAAAAAGCTAGAGTATGCTTTTTCTTCCAGACTGCTTGTCCATAATTACTGATAAAACACCGCTTTGCTAAGCCTGATAAAACCTACATTTACAATAACCTTCAGAGTTAGATGATTCTTGTTCATAATAAAATGTTTGTATGCAAGGAACATAGACACCTCATGTCTGGACGAATCTGTAGATTTCAGACTAATTTGACCGTTGTTGGGAAGGTTTTGAATTTCCAGACTCAAATAACACTGTTGTAAATTACCTATTTGTGGTTAGTGCAAGTCATGTCTATGCAAAATTATTAGATGGCCTGTCCCCTGTCTAACCTTTAAGCCAAATGTTATTTATACTAAATGGTTTAGAATAACTTTATAAAAAATGGTATTTGAAAGTAGTAGAAAGCATATAATAAAACTACCTGTACTAAAATTTGAGGTCTTTTTAGAATGCATTAAAAATCATTGGCTACATATCTGATAAAAGCGCTCATTCTGGTTACTTAAAAATGATAAAAAATTTAAAACATTAACAGTCTATGAATGGAGTAGGTTACTAGAAAAAAAATTAAAAAAAAAGAATCAGGGACATGATATTTGTAAGTGATGTTGAAATAATGTTCTATTTAAAGCGAGAAACTTAATGCTTTCTCTTATACTATAATCTTCTGAAATGGTTATTTCATGTTATAACAATAGAAAAATTGGGTCTTGGAAGATAGCGTAGCTGGCATAAAGCTTGTGCTAGAAATGTTGGGGCCTGAGTTAAACTGGCATAAAAATGTCTGGCTTGGTGGATGAACTCGAAATCACAGAGGTATTGAGGCAGAGACAGAAGGGTCTATGCTGCTTACTGACCGTAAGCATTCCTTAATTGGCCAGATTCCAGGCTCCAGTGAAAGAACCTGCCTCAAAACCAAAACAAAACAATAAAATAACAAAAAACAAAACAACAGCATCAAGGTTGATTCCTGGACTTTAGAGTCATGAGCAAGCAGGTACACATACTGTCACACATATGATCACCTACACACGTATGAGCACATGCGTACACACACGAATGCACACAAAAATAAACCTACAGAATGACAGGAATGATTACATCTATGAATCCTTTATATAGTTTAGAAGTGGCAAGATGGCTCAGCTGGTAATGATGCTTGCAGCCAAGGCTGATGAGTTCATTTCAATCTCCAGGACCCACACAGTAGAAGGAACCAATCCTGCAAGTTCTTCTCTGACCTTCACATATAAGTCATAGCTCATGCACACCATGCACTAAATCAGTAAATAACCGAAATACATCGTTTTTAAA